ACTTGATAGAACTTATTTTGATAAATAAAGTTTATAATCTTTTAATCCCATTTTCTATGAACTTTTAAAGCCCCCTCATATAATGATAGAAGCCTTCTAGTGATGCACTGGATCAAGTCAAAAGAGAAAACAAATCCTGCCATTTTTGGGCACACAGCAGATGCTCAATAAATGCTGGCTGAACTTAGGACTCTACTCCTAAAGGGTCATCACCACACCTGGAATCTAGCAAAGGAAGGGCATTAACAGGGCATGGACAAGGTATTCTGGTAACAAGGCACAGAAACCAGCCCAAACACATTCAAGTAAAAAGAGGACAAATTAAAGGATAAATATGAAACATGGAAATAAAGTACAGAAAATAGAGCTGAGCCTCACAGGCCAACAAGGAGCTACTCTCTCTCTCCTTCTCCCTTTGGGAACACCTGGCTTCATCCTGTTTGTCCATGTTGGGCTTCATTACTTCTCCCTCTGCGGATACTGGTCCTTTGTTCCATTAGCACATGGCCCACCCAGGTCACTCAATAATTGTGGCCTCTGCTTATTTCTGGGAGAAACTCTAATGTTTCACCTTGAGGGAAGGCAGGGAGCTAATGTCATATGGTCGGGATAACACCCTCATCTGGGGCAGCTGAAAAGGACTAGGATTATTACTACTAACGATAACCATAAGCTCGGCTGAGAGATGGGATACCCCCCAAATTAGAACGCACACATAAATATTAGTTGTAACAACTTTATTTCAGAATGACTGCAGGAAGGAATTTCATAGGTAAACAACTAATTTACAGTTCTATATCACAATAACAGTGTGAATCAGAAACACTTCATCCCACACAAAAACTTGGCCTGAGAATTTTTTGAGTTTTAATCCTCTTAAGTTTCACATTATAGAACTGAATACACAAAAACACTAACACAACTGGGGGAGACAATGGTTTATTGATCAAGAGAAATTATTTCTAGCAATATCTCAGTTGCCATGAGGTCACAAATATGACAACTGCAGATGAGGATAAAGAAGTAAGTTAGAGGAAGGGAGTTAAGCCACTAAATTAATGTCACCAAGTCAGTGTAGCAAAGTACATTCATTTGTATTGCTAGAACAGCCTCTCAAAACCTCATTCAAATCCTCTCTACTCTTACTCAACATATAGTATGTAGTTACACAATTTCCCAACCCCAGGGCAAATTAGAGAAAGGTTCCTAGAAGTAGAAACAGTAATGGGAGAGATAAATGACAGATAAAAGTGAGGGAAAAGAAAAACTCTAAAAAACCATGGTAGAACTCAAAGAGCAAACATATCTGGAGCCTTCAGTGTAGGGACTTTAACAAAACTAAGTAGGACCTGAAAGAATTAAAAACATATATGACGACTCTGAAAAGATTTAATTATCCCCAGTAGACTGTGTTTGCAAAAGCAGAGAAATGTATACTAAATTAAGAAATAGTTTGACGTAAATGATTGAAATAAAGCAAAAAAGATGTGCAAGTTAAAAGAATAACCTTGAGTTTTCTACACCATGCACCCTACAATTCCTCACCATTATTGTGGAATATCAGTACATATATACTGCTTATAAAATACACAAAATAGTTCATAGAAAAAGAATACAGCACCTTTTTCATCCATATATGATTGAAACTATAAAAGCCCCTTCCTGGTAAAAGCACCTCAATCATATAGTGATAGTTCAAGTCAGCTTCTCTCTGCATAAGAACTTTATACTGTGTCCTGAGTGATCAACTGAAATTCCATGAATCAGAATCACTGGGGAAAGGCCCTGAGAACTTGCACTTTAGCACATTTCCCCAGAGATTTCCGGTACATGGGAAGTCTGAGAATCACAGACTGAATCATTGCCTTGAAGACAGGAGGAGACTGTCCAGGTTTGTGAATTAACCCTTTCCCACTCTTATTTCTAGTGTGCCCAATAAGGCTGTACTCCTGGTTCTGACAGTTCGTAAGCTACACGGTACAGAATAAAAAACATGGACTTCTAAATGTTTTATCACAAAACATATAATTTTTTAAAAAATTAACAGACCCTAATTAATTCCAACAAGAGGACAGACACAGCGGCTCATGCCTGTAATCCCAGCACTTTGGGAGGCAGAGGCAGGAGGATCATTTGAGGCCAGAAGTTCAAGACTAGCCTGATCAACATAGTGAGATCCTATCTCAAAAAAAAAGGAAATGGAAAAAAAAAAAAAAAAAAAAAAGACCATAAGATTTCTCAGCCATATATGTGAAGCTGGAAGCAATAGCTGCCTGCAGGGGGAAAAATACTGAGTGAGGAAAAGTAATCCTTGAGGATTATTTAGGAATGAGGAGGAAGATACATCTAAAAGTAGTCTTGGAGGAGAGGTAGAATGCAGCATGCATCCAGAACACAAAAATGCAAATCTATTACAGCTCGGCCAGGATGTTTTGGCCTGTCCTTAACACTCTGGAAGCAGAGGCTAAAAACTACTGGCTGCAAACATGTTTTTTGTTTTGGCCAGCACAATGTTTTAAACAATTCTGAATTGGTTGCCAATAAAAAACTGGGAGATTTTTTTTTAATTTTGTCTTTTCTTAGAAAATTAGAAATAGGAAGTACTAAAAAAGACCAGTGACACAACCACACTGTGCTGGAACTGGGCAAAAGCTGCCTACTTTCAGTCAGGTATGTGCTCCCAATGGCGTCACCCCAGGGGCCCCAGCCTGCCTCCCTCTTCAGACCAGCTGCCTGATCCCTGCAAGCACTACCATTGGCCACCGCTGCACACAAGGTAGAAATTCAACCTCTCTGTGCCTCACTCTATTTCTAATAAAAAAAAATCCTGCTATAAAGATCCTTTCCAACCACAGAGATATTAAGAAAAAAAATAGGATAATGTCTGCAAATACCTAGAAGTCATTGTAGTGTTCTTAGCTGCCCACTGGAATTACCTAAGGAGTTTTTTTAAATGCTGATGTCTTGGTTCTACTATCTGAGATTCTGAGTTCTTGGTCTGGGAAGCAACCCAGGCATCAGAATTGCAGAAAGCTCCCCAAGCAATCCTAACAGACAGCCAAGGTTGAGAACTCCTCCCTTCAGAGGATGGGCATTGTTGAGTGTGAAGGGTTAAACTTACTCTAATGTCAACCTCCAAATACAAATTTCTTGTCTCTCACCTCCACAATAATTTGCATCACCTCTTATTTTTGGAAATAGGCTATTACTCCAAAAGCCTACCAAATGCCATTTACAAGCTGGAAAAAAAGGTCAAAGTGTATTTCAGTTTCTACCATTATTTTTCCCTCCAACACAATTGAAGAATGAAACCCTATGAAGCTGAAAAGAAATTCAGAGACAAAATTCAGGCAGCACAAAGAGCTCAGATACAATAAGAAGAGGCTCACAGTGGCAAGCTTGTATGAAAAAATGCAATTACTTTGAAATTCATCAATAAATTACGTGGAAATTTTTTCAGACATTTTTTCAGTTCAACCATTGTGGAAGACAGTGTGGTGATTCCTCAAGGATCTAGAACTAGAAATACCATATGACCCAGCCATCCCATTACTGGGTATACACCCAAAGGATTATAAATCATGCTGCTATAAAGACATATGCACACATATGTTTATTGTGGCACTATTCACAATAGCAAAGACTTGGAATCAACCCAAATGTCCATCAATGACAGACTGGATTAAGAAAAT